TGTATATAGTCTGGGAACCACCTACTTTTCTGGGAAACATACTTTCAAGTTCAATTTATTAGAATTGTGATTAAAGGAAAGCACTATTCTCATTCATATTGCGATTAATGAATATTAATATTAATAATATTATACTACCATATATTACTCAAATTAAGTTTTCGAATACATAGTAAGTAAACATAGATAGAAGATAGAACATATTATAGAGATGCAACATGCAACCATAGAACGTGTTTGTTATATTTATATGGTGTTGGTAGATAGCATCCAACCGTAAACTGAATATACAACGTATTACTGTAGCAATCAACATTTTTGTTACACTAAAATTACTATTTTAGATCTTAGTGAACGTAGTAATGTAACAAAATTAATTATTGTACTGATTAACTACCATATAATCGAAAAAAAAACGGCGTCAGCGGTGGCATGAAACGAAGATTGCTGTCATTTTATACCGGGTGCGTCTCAAAAGTGGCTCACCGCTATAACTTTTTAATTTTTTTTTAGATAAAAAAACGAGATTTGGTATGTAAGTATATGACATAAATTAGGAATTATTGACGTATTCAATTGTTTTTGGTCACTTCCTGTTTCACCGGAAATGACTACAACTTTTGATTTTTAAATGACACCCCCCGAGCCTTGGAAAAATAGATTTGATAATCTAATGATTTTCGTGTCTTGTCCGGGCCCGTTCTTATAAGATGCCCAAATCGTATTTTTAATCATATCTCAATTTTTCCAAACGGAACAAGGGAGGCTCGTTAGCATATTTGGAAAAAGCATTTTTTACGAATAATTTGGTACCACACACATGGTATTTCGAGTCAAATTGTCATTATCAACCGCATGTTACAATTTCAAATAAACCACATTCTCTTGAGGGTGCATCCACACTATCCTAAAAACGGCGTATCGGCGTAACGGCGTAACGGCCTTGAATAGATTTCCAGTAATTCTAGTGGCGGATGCGTCTCAAAAGTGATCCACCGCTATATCTTTTTTATTTATTTTTTTTTTTGGATAAAAAAACGAGATTTGGTATATTAGTATATGACATAAATTGGAATTGATTGACGTATTCAATTGTTTTTGGTCACTTCCAGTTTCACCGGAAATTACTACAACTTTTGATTATTAAATGACACCCCCGGTATGTTTTTACATTATTCGATAGAAAATGACACTCTGAATAGAATAATATATCATATGTCAACTTTTGACATTTTCGCTTAAAAAATAGTATTTTAAATTTCTATCTATTATAGAGTGCCATGGATGTGTTACAAACACTAATTTTTAATCAAGGAGCTTTGGAAAAATAGATTTGATAGTCTAATGATTTTCGTGTCTTGTCCGGGCCCGTTATAAGATATCAAAATCGAATTTTTACTCATATCTCAATTTTTTCAAACGGAACAAAGGTGGCTCGTTAGCATATTTGGAAAAAGCATTTTTCTACGAATAATTTGGTACCACAATTTGGTACTCGAGTCAAATTTTCATTATGAACCGCATGTTACAAATAAATCATATGTCAAATGTCAAAAATTAACATATTTATGACATGCCATTCTATTCAGTGTGAGTTTTTGTATCGAATAATGTAAAAATATACCGGGCGTGCCATTTAACAATCAAAAGTTGTAGTCATTTCCGGTGAAACAGGAAGTGACCAAAAACAATTGAATACGTCAATCAATCCTAATTTATGTTATATACTAACATACCAAAATTCGATTTTTTATCTGACAAAATAAAAAAAGTTGTAGGGGTGAGCTACTTTTGAGACGCACCCGGTATACGACGATCGATTTAAATGAAAATTATTTTTAAATACTTGTACAACGAAGTCATAGTATCGAAATAAATTTCTAGGTACTCGTACATTTTTTTGACACGACGATCGATTTAGACGAAAAAATTTTAGGTACTTCTACAGCGAAATCACAGCATCGAAATAATTTTGTAGTTACTCCTAGAATTCTGACCGATTTAGATGAAAAAAATTAGGTACTTCTACAACGAAATCATAGCATCGAAGTAAATTTGTAGGTACTCGTACAATTTTTGACCCGCCGATCGAAATAATTTTGTTTCTAGTATTTATTAGCCGAACGACCGGTTTCGACAATAAAAGTTTAGTTACTTCTACAAATCCGGTGATGACAGCAATTCAAAAAAAAGATTAGACCGTAAATTATTGATATTTTTAAATGAAACTAGTAGGAATAATTTTAAAAGAATACTTATTTTCATTTTCTTCGTCTGAATTTCTTAATATTCTAATTAGAGTATGAGCATTTTGTTTTTTACCAAATATAACACGGCTATATCTTCGTTTCCCTTTAATAGTTTGCTTTACTGTGTTGCCGGTTCTTGGGTCTGAATACATCAATTCAACGTAAATCGGCTTATACACTTATACTAATGTCGAAGGTGGCGCCGCTCGTGACAATACCGGTGTACCCCCAATCGTATATAAAAAACATAAAACCATTTTTTCAGGCCCAGCTGAAATTTGGTCAGGGGAAGTGGGGAAACCGTTCTAGAGGATAACCACTGAAATCGTACTCAGACCCGAGTCCGGGCCTGAAATGTCGAAATCGGGTCTGAGGCCAATGAAGCAACGTAGTTTTTGGGCTCGTATAAGCGGTTTAATAAATATATATATATATATATATATATATATATATATATATATATATATATATATATATATATATATATATATATATATATATATATATATATATATATATATATATATATATATATATATATATATATATATATATATATATATATATATATATATATATATATATATATATATATATATATATATTATTTTTAAATATTGATTTCCTATTTAAAATTTATAACAAAAATGTATTTGAATTTTCATTAAATATATCAAATATCGGCAACGCTGCGAAAACCGTCACCCTTGTTTTTTTTACGTCTATGCACTATATTAGTGCACTCGCACTCAATCTTCTCGATAATATAACGCCAAGCGACCGCGTCGCTAAAGCGATATACTACCTCGTTTCTTAACCTGAAACTAGTTCTTTTTACTTAACTGTTCCAAGTCCAAAACTGTTCCAAGTCCGAAACTGTTCCAAGTCCCAAACAGTTCCAAGTCCCTAACTGTTCCAAGCGCTAAACTGTTCCAAGCCCTAAACTGTTTCAAGTCCTAACCGGAACAGTGGGACTTGGAACAGTTTGAGACTTGGAACAGTTTGGGACTTGGAACAGTTTAGGGCTTGGAACAGTTAGGAACTTGGAACTGTTTGAAACAGTTAAGTAAAAAGAACTGGTTTGAGTTGATATAATCGAGGTCGTATATCGGTTTCGCTAGTCTAGCCAAAGTTTAGCGGACGCGACCGTTCAGGTGTTATCGGGATACAGGGGCGTAAAAAAAGTGTGGCCGTTGCCGGTATTTAAAATATTTAATTAAAATTCAACTAAATTTTTATTATTAATTTTAAATTTATAATAATGTTTTTAAATATTTTTTTTAATGTAAACAGAAACAGAATAGGTAAGGAACATTTTTTACTATAAAAAAAATGCTGGCGATGTTGCCAAATGCAATATAATTATCGCATCATAGGTTTTTTTTGAAAACTACAGTGTAAGAACAGTCGGTTATTGTTTTGTATTATATGTAAATAGATGCAGATATTAAAAAAAATAAACTCTTCCAAGAATTTACTTTTTAAGTATATAACAAAATTATAAATCTATATTTATTTTATTCATTAGTGCTTATACAGGGTGGGTCTTAAATAAGTGCACATATTTTTAGGGGTGGTATATTTCGATTCTTATGAGTTTTTTTCGGAAAAACATGTTTTTGAAAAGTTTATATTTTTCGAAAATTTTATAGTTTTTTTTTTAATTTTTAGTTAAAAAAAAACATTATATCTTGGCAATATAGCAACAAAAAATATTCTTTTATATAAATTTAAAAAAAAAATAGCAACCGAATCAGAATGACGCAAGTACGGTATTAATTTTCGTTTTGGAACAGTTTGGAACTGAAACAGGTTTCTTGGATTTTTTGGAGGTATCTGTAGCAACTGGAACAGCTTCTACCTGTTATTAAAAAATCGCTGTTCCGGCCATGACTAATTTACAGCTTCATCGTACCCAAAATCGAGCCCAAAATAGTGAGATATTTTTATAATAGTGTTGATTTTATTTTAGATAAATGTTGGCTGGCAAATCTAAAGCATCTAAAGTATGTTCTAGGTATGTATTTCAGGAAAATATTTTAACTTCTATTGGGTGACTCAAAAAAGTGTGAGTGGATGGGGATGATGTTTTTTAAATGGAGCGCATAGCATTTTTAAATGGAACAGCATATTATTGAATTTTTGACTTCTTTTCAGATCTTAACAATACAACTAAAGTATTTTCCTGAAATACATCCTTGTACCACATACTTTATGTTTACACTTAAACAAAATCCCCAAGTTTTTTATTCTATGAGCCCGTCGCACTATTGCTGGACCCTGTATAAGTTAATTTGGGCACACAGCATTTTTGGGCTACAGCACACATATGAACATTATTATTTTTTTAATAATGTTCATATATGTGTGCTACAGCACACATATGAACATTATTATTTTTTTAAAGCCTGAGTGTGTTTATTTTATTTTATATAAAAAGTGTACAATAAGTTGTAATAAATATAAGAATATACAAGGACACGTCATTAGTTTTAATGAAAAAAAAATGAGAGTATACTTGTCTTATATTTTTTTTGTTTTCTTTTTAGAAAATATATCACTGTTTCCTTTATATTGCGAAAGAGCAAAATGTAATCAAATATTTTCAATAATAATACCGTGGAATAATTAAGTTCTGGTTTTATAACTTGTAGATTAGGAAAGGCTAAGAAATTATTTTCGTAAAATCATGTACCAATTCCATATTTTTTCATTCAACTGTTTTTTAGAGGTGTAATTTGTTGATTACAGGGAAGTGATACAGTAATCTATCAATACGACTGGTTGGGTAGAGCAATTAGTGTAACGCTGCCAAGCGGGGAAATTTTGCAATTAAATTCGAAAATGTCCAATACTGAGGGTTTGGAAATATCCATCAGTCAACCGCCGACAATTTTAAACATTAATGGAAAAGCAAACAAGCAAATCATTCTCATTGACGGTAAGTTCTTTATATATTTTGAATCACGACAAATACTGCTGCTTCCAACATCTTGTTGGATTATTAACGATTTTGAACATATATATTCGTATATTTATATATTTGTGGAACTATATTATTCAAAATCCATCAAAATTATGTCAATCGCACTGATGGTTTGCGGTTATTAATCCGTTATTTCCAACTTACCTAATATGATTTAGAACTATACATTTCTTGAATTATAACAAATTTCAGGTGCCGCAGTAACCAAGGCTGTAACCTTAACAAACTCTACTGTTGTTGTGAAGAGCCCATCTGAGAGCAAGTTGGAAATATGCGCCATCGAGCGCCATCCCTTATTAGAAGCCTCTCTGCCTGTGGAAGCAGAACTCTTGCCTGTGTGGTCCCATCAAACAACAACATTTGGAAATGAAATTTCCAACACTATGTCAACAGTTTTTAGTTTAGTCGGCGATGTTCGCAATCTACAGCAAACTCTCTACAGAGAGATATATGTCAATGGCACCAAAGTGCTAGGTATCGAATTCGACCAATTCACGAGCAAGGAGACTTTCTTTGATTATGACAAGTTGCCTCTGTTAACAATTATTTATGATCCGGCGGGGCTTCCTCTATCGTATATACCATATAATGGCGCAGATAGTCTAAATATAACGTACGACAGTTTTAACAGGATTGACGGGTGAGTTTTATTTGTTTAAAGGTGGTCAGCAACAGTACTTTTTGAATAAAAATGTCATGTCGAAATTTTATCGTAGGAATTGCAAATCTACCGAATTAATTCACGGTGATTCAAAACGAATTTATTTGCATTGTCGGTTTACCGGCCTTTGCCGTTTTTTTTTTGTAAGTACTAGCGGAAAAACAATAATTATAATAGCAACCTTTATCAAATTAGAGCAGCAATTACAAATATTTTCTCTAATTTATTTTTTTTGTAAATATTGCATTTCTGTTTTTAAGGTTTGGGCAATAATCATAGATTTTATATATTTTACAGCTGGTTAAGCTTGGTTAGCTTTTACTTTTTTTTATTGATAGTAATATATTTTCCTTAATCTACAACAATGTTTCTGCCAATGTTAAAGGAATATCATTGCAATTCGACTATGACTTTTTTAGAGACACAGAGTTAAGCTTCATTCAGAACATCAAAATTAGTGGAATAAATTAGAAGTTTCAATTAGCTAGATATTTTTACCTCAAATATAAATGTAAGCATTCAGAAAGTCAAAATTAGTACTAGCAATTAACAGAAAAAGAGCGAGGGGTAAACACATAGGGCAAAAAGTGTACACCTACAACCTCTATCCTTAGTACATCCCCTACATCCTCCAGTATATCCTCGGTACATCCCCTACATCCTCGGTACATCCCCTACATCCTCGTACATCCCCTAGTACATCCCCTACATCCTCGGTACATCCACTACATCCTCGGTACATCCCCGGTACATCCCCGGTACATCCCCTACATCCTCTAGTACATCCTCGGTACATCCCCTGGAAATTCTCTCATGTGTACGCCATACATTTAGAATAATTTTCGTGATGAACCGTTTTACGTGTCTAAAATACTTTTCGAGATATACTTATCTTGGACACACTGTATATATTTTTTTAAATTTTATTTGAATGGTAAAAAAAAGTTAAAATTTTGAACGCTATTATCTCCGAAACTATTAATATATAAAAAAAAAGATGAAGCACCATTTCGACTTACATTTACTAGAGGGATATAAAAATTTACAGGGTGTTTTTTTTATTTAAAATAACAAAATTAAGGTTACTTTACTTACGACGAAACCGGAATTGTTATTTATGTTAGAGCGATCTCCCAATTTATTACGAGCTTTATTATATGTATAACTACACAAAATTTCTCAAACCTCTACAATTTATTGGCTAGTAATATAGTTGACACCTAATATTTTGTTGAATTCAAAAGGATAAAAAAAATGAAAACCATTTAAAAAAATTATATGGGGTCATCGAGAATCGAACTAAGGCGCGCCAACCCATATCAAATCTTGCCAGAGCTGTAACAATCTCGGCTATTATTGTGCCTACAACAATTCGCCGTTACTTTCATTATACAGAGTGTGTCTTAAATAAGTGCAAATATTTTCAGGGCTGGTAGATCTCGATAAAAGAAACATATTTTTTCTTTACCATTTTTCAAATAAATCCAAAATAACCGAGTTATTTAAGTTTGACAATTTAAAAAAAAATGATTTTTTTTTAATTTTGATAGCCACCTGATTTTTTTCTGTATTTGCATCCCTTTTAGTGCCGTAACCATAGAGTAAAGCTGTAACTATGGTAATATCAGAGATTAAGAATTAATAACGTGGGAAAATTAGCGGTGAACAGGCAGTTCTAAAAAGTTTTCGAAAAATATACAGGAAAATTTAAAAGAAAATGCACGATTTTCAACATATTTTATTTGCAAAAAACATCATAGACGTGTTCTTGGGGTCAAAATATACCACCCCTGAAAATATTTGCACTTATTTAAGACTTACCCTGTATAACAGCAGTTTATGCCTCGGTTTATGCAGTTTATGTCGGCGGAAAAAATAACTTAGTCATGCGTAAAACCCTATATTATGTGCAAAGTTATCAATCTCGTGTTTTGAACCCCAAATAAAATGAGATCTAGTAGCTACCGGGATCTACTTTATAAAACAGACCTAAAAATAGGCAACGTTAAAGGCATTCGCATTTATGAACTTCGTTTTTGACGTATAGAGGGTACAATAATAATTATTTACACACACTTCCCTTTAATTCATAACGCTTACGGCACTATGCAATAAGATATGAACACACACAAACACATTTTTGCATAAACTTATACCAGAGATATGGATTAAAGGCTATATATCTGACTTATACATACATTTTGCGAGATATTTTGAGGTTATGAGTAGGGGTGAGCCACAAAGCCTTGAGTATCGATATTTTTATCGATATATTAAATAAAGGTCCATTTTCACTCCCATGAAATTTGTGCAAATCGGCTTGTGAAAATCGGCTTGTGCAAACTTTATTTAATAAATTCATTGAGAAAAACGGATGTGCACAAGCTAATTCACATACGTGAAAACCAAGTAACGATATATTGGTCCATAAATATCGATATAGCTATCGATATAACAGATACCGCTATATCTCTTTATGAATACTTCATATCGGAAATATCTATATCTATCTATATTCACAATATCGATATTCGATCTTATTTGATTTCGTACAGGGTGGTTGTAAAATATTGAATAAATATCAACATCTCGAGAACCACATTTTTTGGAAATCGCTCGGCCACATCAATTATTTTAATTTTTCCGGGGCAGATTATGCCAAAAATGAATATTATACAGGGTGTCTCAAAAATGCTTTGTCCAAAACAATTTCTTTTAATGGCAACCCTCGTGGCAACATAATTATTATTTTTCTGCATTTTTGAATTGCCCTTAAAATTCTGAATATTTTCCATGTTAGTGCTATACCCAAATCCCAGCTTTTTGGAGTTATTCTCATTTAAAAATTAAAAAGTGAAAAAAAATATTAGAAAAAAACCTTTTTTAAGAGGATACCGAAGAGGATACCTTATGGAAAATGTATTCAAAAGACAACCCACAAATTTGGATGACTTGAAACATCGCATTCGGCAATCACATCCCCTACATCCTCGTACATCCCCTAGTACATCCTCTACATCCTCGGTACATCCACTACATCCTCGGTACATCCCCGGTACATCCCCGGTACATCCCCTACATCCTCTAGTACATCCTCGGTACATCCCCTGGAAATTCTCTCATGTGTACGCCATACATTTAGAATAATTTTCGTGATGAACCGTTTTACGTGTCTAAAATACTTTTCGAGATATACTTATCTTGGACACACTGTATATATTTTTTTAAATTTTATTTGAATGGTAAAAAAAAGTTAAAATTTTGAACGCTATTATCTCCGAAACTATTAATATATAAAAAAAAAGATGAAGCACCATTTCGACTTACATTTACTAGAGGGATATAAAAATTTACAGGGTGTTTTTTTATTTAAAATAACAAAATTAAGGTTACTTTACTTACGACGAAACCGGAATTGTTATTTATGTTAGAGCGATCTCCCAATTTATTACGAGCTTTATTATATGTATAACTACACAAAATTTCTCAAACCTCTACAATTTATTGGCTAGTAATATAGTTGACACCTAATATTTTTGTTGAATTCAAAAGGATAAAAAAAAATGAAAACCATTTAAAAAAATTATATGGGGTCATCGAGAATCGAACTAAGGCGCGCCAACCCATATCAAATCTTGCCAGAGCTGTAACAATCTCGGCTATTATTGTGCCTACAACAATTCGCCGTTACTTTTATTATACAGAGTGAGTCTTAAATAAGTGCAAATATTTTCAGGGCTGGTAGATCTCGATAAAAGAAACATATTTTTTCTTTACCATTTTTCAAATAAATCCAAAATAACCGAGTTATTTAAGTTTGACAATTTAAAAAAAAATGATTTTTTTTTTAATTTTGATAGCCACCTGATTTTTTTCTGTATTTGCATACCTTTTAGTGCCGTAACCATAGAGTAAAGCTGTAACTATGGTAATATCAGAGATTAAGAATTTATAACGTGGGAAAATTAGCGGTGAACAGGCAGTTCTAAAAAGTTTTCGAAAAATATACAGGAAAATTTAAAAGAAAATGCACGATTTTCAACATATTTTATTTGCAAAAAACATCATAGACGTGTTCCTGGGGTCAAAATATACCACCCCTGAAAATATTTGCACTTATTTAAGACTTACCCTGTATAACAGCAGTTTATGCCTCGGTTTATGCAGTTTATGTCGGCGGAAAAATAACTTAGTCATGCGTAAACCCTATATTATGTGCAAAGTTATCAATCTCGTGTTTTGAACCCCAAATAAAATGAGATCTAGTAGCACCGAGGATCTACTTTATAAAACAGACCTAAAAATAGGCAACGTTAAAGGCATTCGCATTTATGAACTTCGTTTTTGACGTATAGAGAGTACAATAATAATTATTTACACACACTTCCCTTTAATTCATAACGCTTACAGCACTATGCAATAAGATATGAACACACATGCCAAACATAGTTTTGCATAAACTTATACTAGAGATATGGATTAAAGTCTACATATCTGACTTATACATACATTTTGCGAGATATTTTGAAGTTATGAGTAGGGGTGAGCCACAAGGCCTTGAGTATCGATATTTTTATCGATATATAAAATAAAGGTCCATTTTCACTCCCATGAAATTTGTGCAAATCGGCTTGTGAAAATCTGCTTGTGCAAACTTTATTTAATAAATTCATTGAGAAAAACGGATGTGCACAAGCTAATTCACATACGTGAAAACCAAGTAACGATATATTCGTCCACAAATATCGATATAGCTATCGATATAACAGATACCGCTATATCTCTTTATGAATACTTCATATCGGAAATATCTATATCTATCTGTATTCTCAATATCGATATTCGATCCTATTTGATTTCGTACAAGGTGGTTGTAAAATATTGAATAAATATCAACATCTCGAGAACCACATTTTTTTGGAAATCGCTCGGCCACATCAATTATTTTAATTTTTCCGGGTCAGATTATGCAAAAAATGAATATTATACAGGGTGTCTCAAAAATGCTTTGTCCAAAACAATTTCTTTTAATGGCCACCCTCGTGGCAACATAATTATTATTTTTCTGCATTTTTGAATTGTCCTAAAATTCTGAATATTTTCCATGTAAGTGCTATACCCAAATCCCAGCTTTTTGGAGTTATTCTCATTTAAAAATTAAAAAGTGAAAAAAAATATTAGAAAAAAACCTTTTTTAAGAGGATACCGAAGAGGATACCTTATGGAAAATGTATTCAAAAGACAACCGACAAATTTGGATGACTTGAAACATCGCATTCGGCAAATTACGCCCCAAATAATTCGAAATGCATCCCCGGTAAATCCTCGGTACATCCCCTACATCCTCTAGTACATCCTCGGTACATCCCCTACATCCTCGGTACATCCCCTACATCCTCTAGTACATCCTCGGTACATCCACTACATCCTCGGTACATCCAATACATCCTCGGTACATCCCCTGGAAATCCTCTCATGTGTCATAAATCCTTGGAAATCCTTTATGTCATAAATCCCCTAAGTGTTCACCCTTCGAAAAAGAGCAAACGATGATATTTTTCAACTAATGCTAAACATTTATAACATTTAATAAGTATGCTTAAAAATTTACGTGTTATGTCATTTTGGCCTTTGATTATCATGCATTAAGAGAAATTGTGTTTAGAAAAATAAAATGTTTGTTTTATAATTATTAGGCTTTTTCTACGTATATAACCTATGATACAACTGACTACAGCAAGCTGTTTGCCAGGATATTCTAATTTTAATTGTATTTTTTAACCATTGTGAATGATCGTTATATAATAACTAGGTATAAAGTATTTGAAACTACTAATTTATTCTAATACTTTCGAGAAGTATTTAAGGACATCGATACTCGATACTTAAAGTTCTGCTCTGATTTGTTACCTCAGCAATCCTACATTTAAAGCAAAATCTGTTATAAACTGGTTGATTTTTTGCAACTAATATCCTGTATAACGTGTAAACCAGGGGCTTTCAAAATGCTAAAGAATTTTTACTAACAGTCCATATGTCTGCAGGTGGAAATGGGGAGCCTCTCAACTCAAATACAGCTACGACCGACACGGTTTATTGTCGGAAATCACGAGCCCACAGGATGGAATTCAAATATTTACCTATGACGAAACTAATACTTTAACAAAAATTACTTTAGCCAGCCAAAGAAACTTCTTGCTAACGTATGACGACAATGGAGGACTGCGACACGTTACCTTACCAAGCGGAACAAGGCATTCCTTCGCCCTTCAGCCATCTCTAGGTTAGTATTAAAACCCATGGTTACTTATTTTTATTAATTATTTATGTATAAATTCTAACGTATAGGGTGTCCCATTTTTGAGTTTTATAGGGTTTCTCGTTTATGAGTAGAGATACAAAGATGGTGATTTTCACATCATTGTGCTACTTTTTTATAAAATTAAAGATACTACATAGCTTTGCCCTAGCCTTCGACTCCCCTTGTCTTATTCTTACAGTGCCAGAATAGGCTGCCTCTCGCATGTACTTTGATATGTGTTTCACAGGTACAAGGAACCTACATTTTTTTTATCGCCGAATCCGTAGATAGGGCACTATTTGAGAAGCTGTACTAGATAAATATACTCAAGGTTGTTTGCCACTACTTTCTTTGAGGTGGCTACTCGCTCTATTTAAATAAATAAATATTTTTATTGAAATAAATAAAGCGACCGTACTGGCTTGGTACTGATCACAGTACATCTCGCACAGCAGATCGACACACTACTGCTGGAGCATAGGTAGCCTCATATGGAGTCCCATAGGGTTTTTCACGTAGAATTCAGTTGCGTAACTAGATTTATGCTGGTAGCTGTTATTCTTGAGATACGACATAAACTTATGTTTTTTTTAATGGGATACTCTGTATATTTTTTTTATTTGCTGTGTAATGAGCTTTTTAGAAATATTAACATTTTATTTTGTGTACTGTAGCTTCCAATAGCTCCTATTTTAAATTATTATCTCTGATATTCCAGGAATTATAAGGGTGGTGTATACATCGCCAGGAAGTTCACGCTCATACCTACAACATTTCTCTAATTCCGGCAGGTTGTTGCAAACTGTATTTCCAGGAGAGGGGGCTCGAATCGTATATCGATATTACGATAGTGGTAAACTCAAGGAGGTAAGATTTTATAAAAGACGTAGAGCTAAAAACATTCCATTCGTAGCTCTGCGATTTAAAATTACGATATTATAGATTTTAATTTATACCACGACATAAAAAAATAATACCTATTATTTTATTTAAGGTTGTTCATGGTGACGGTAAGACCCTCCATTCCTACTCCGAGACCTCAGGATTACCAAGTCAAGTGAGCCACTTAGAAAAGGATGTAGAGTATCAATGGGACTATCAGTTCGTCGGTGAGCTTTTAACCGAAGAACGCATAAATTTTGGTGCCAAAACAGGTCTTAGCAATGCAAAGTTTACTTACGACTATGACAATAATTATCGCCTAGTTAATCTACAAGGAAGAATCGGCGGTCAAAACTTACCTCTGTATAATATAGCATATAACTTTAAGACTGGTACCGTGGAACAATTAGGACCATTTAAGGTAAATTTATATATTAATTATAATTTGATAACGTCTAAATGAAGTTAATACCATTTTATGATTTTATGATCTTAAAAAGTTTTAAAATAATTTATTTCCAAAGTGCAGGATCGTGTTAGATATACTCTAGTTCAGATAAAATAGTATTTACGATAAAATATTTTTTTACACAATAATTTGACGTATCGTGAAGAATTCACCTCTTAGAAATCAGTGTTATGCAACAATCCTTTTCGTACACCTTCAAAAGAGTCCTTAAATATTATACCTGGTTAATAATATTCTAGAGTTGTGAAACTTTGTTTGCCACTTAATGTCAAAGGTAGCTAGATAAAATTAAGAAAAATATACGCTTTAAAACTAACCTTTAAATACCTCTAAAACGATTTATTTTAGATTTAAGGACATATATATCACCAAAAAGTAACGAATTTAAAACTTCTTTATTAGTAAAATAAAAGAATTGAGATTCTATTTGCAAAAAAAATTATGATAGTGTTTTAGTCGCCTATTTCCACGACAGCTACCGGCAATACCATTGGTAAGTAAAAAATCTAAACTAAAAGCTACATCTTCTGTTCGTGGACCTGTAGAAGGCATACGACAGCGTTCCCCTTGAGAGACTTTGGGAAGCTATGGAAAAATTATATAAACAAACAGAAACTAGAATTAAAGTCGGCAAAAAGTTAATAACAGGATTTAATTGAACCAAAGGTCTGAAACAAGGGTGCTGCATTTCACCAACACTGTTCAAGATCTATCTCGAACAAGTTCTCGAAGATGGGAAGCAAAAACGTCGAAATATGGGAGTACCCATAGGGGACAAAACTCTATACACTGTGCTTCGTGGACGATCAGGTGCTTATAGCACAAGATTACGAACGACATAAATTATAGATACGTAAGCTTATAGAAGAATATCAGAAATGGCGACTCGAGATCAACACTAGCAAAACAGAATATATGTGTATCGGAGGAGGAGGATATGTAGGTATATATGTATGTATCGGAGGAGAACAAGACCCAATACTAGTAGGAAAAAAATAAATGCTGCACAAAATACAAATATTTGAATATGAATTTCCCAAATGATGGACTGTTGGATACAGCAATTAGAACGAAACCAACTTGGAAGGAATGCTATCACGGTATTGAATGGGATACTGTGCGACAGAAGCATAAACAACAGAAACAAAACATTAATATATAATACCATCATCGAGAGTATAACCACATACAGCTGTGAAGTGTGGTCAATTAAAGAAACAACAAAACGAAGGCTGGAAGTTATAAAGATGGATTCTCGGAAGAGAGCAGCAGCCAAATCAAGACTCGGGCGAATAACTAATGAACGCATAAGGGAGATTATGGAGGTTATACATACAATAGTGGACGAAATAAAGAACAGACAACTCATATATTACAAGCATGTCCAAAGAATGGCAGAAATAAGAATCCCAAAGCAAATCATAAACTGGAAACCTGCAGGAAGAAGAAAACCGGGTAGACCGAGAGGTAACCTGGAGAGACAGATAGGCATGGAGAGATGGCATCAGAAGACGTAGAACGTTTTAAACCGATTAATGTACGAATATATGACTATAGTTATAGATATAACTGATAATAATGTATACAAACTGGATACTAAGGATGGCTGTTTGAAATCACTTTATACCCGATCAGAATTCGACTTATGCAAACAAAAGTTTTTCAATAGACGATGTTCTTCAAGATAAAATATTTTTTTAGGGTCTGCAGCAAACAAAACAAATTCTTCGAGCAAAATTCAGGGATAAAAAATAAAAGATGGCAATATACAAGACACTGGTGGTACACATATCTGTTTATGTAAAAAGAGAACTTGAGTATTCTGCCACTCAAAATGCCACAAATTAGTTACCTTTTTGTTGTTTATTTACTACTCTTTAATGAAAAAGTGTATCTTTTGTTTAATAATTTAAATCATATTTACAGTTAATATAATACTGCGTTCTTTTATTAAGGTAAAAATATTAAAATATCGAAATTTAGATTATATATATATCGAGTATCGATAATCTTCTATCTCATTTCCTCTGCTTAGAAATTAATCTTTCTAATATAATAAAAATAATTGGAAAGTTTAAATCTCGTATTTTTCAATATTCACTGGCGTCATACTTTTATTATTTAAATTACAAAAGAGACTGACTTTTGGTCTTCTGCATACAATTTAGTTCATAAAGTATGTCAAATATGATAGTTTCTAATACATATCGAGCCATTCTAGTTTGTCTTTAAAAGTACCTATTAAGCTATAATAGTACGGCCTAGAAAAATTGCAAAGTTTCTAATCACGATAGGAACTTTTGTCATGTTCTAGGCCAAACTGAAACAGCCTGAAATCGGATATTTCCTGCAACATATACAATTTAAAATATATAAAAAAATGCTTATTATTTATTGATTTAAAAGTACTACTTATTTTCAGATTATTAAACTTAAAGCCAATGAAACTCAAGTATATGATGGCACAGCGCTATTCTCTAGCATGCAAAACTCACGCTTTTTGGAATCTAGAGTTGCTCTTACAATACACGGGATGGAAGTTTTTAAAATGGAATTTAGTCATGATTTGCATGGGTAAAGTATTTATTCTTCTTAATATTAAAAACATACAGGTAGAAACAATACAATAAACAGTGAACATACAATATCGCAAAAATACTATGTTAATATTTATAAAAAAAATAATACGTCCCAAAGAACTTTCAAAGTCGTCATACAAGTGATCCACATACATTTATTAAAAATAATATTCTAGGAGGATATCTCAAACTCGGACATATACTAAAAATGTTGGTGTAAACACTTATACAAATGTCAAAAATTTTACATGGGATTGTGATGGACAACTCTTGGGGGTTGAAGCTCAAGAACCTTGGGGATTCAGATATGATGATAATGGGAATATGTTATCATTAACATATAGGTAATATTTCTTGCACAGTTCAATCCGTCCCACATTTTTACATCATTTAAAAGAATTTAAAACAATTTGTCTATAGGGGTAATACTATACCAATGGAATACAATAGTATGGATAGGATTATTAAGTTTGGGGAAGGTCAGTATAAATATGACAGCAGAGGTTTAGTAATACAAAATGCTAGAGAAGAAAAATTTCATTACAATGCTAAAGGTCTTTTAACGAGAGCTACAAAAAGAGGTAGATTTGATGTTCGATATTTCTATGATCACATGGATAGGTATACAAAACGGAAATTTACTAATTAAAAAATATTTGACTAATGGTAAGCTTTGTAGACTGTTGGCTCGTAAAGATAATTTTGGCAATGTTACCCAGTTCTTCTATAATAATGACAAACAACCTAGGGAAGTTAGCCAAATCTACTCTCCAAGAGATGGAAAATTAATGTCGTTGGTTTATGATAACAGGGGACACTTAATCTTTGCCCAAGTTTATAGACATAAATATTATGTTGCCACTGATCAGTGTGGAACCCCTGTGATGATTTTCAACCAATATGGAGAAGGTATTCGGGAAATTATGCGATCACCGTATGGGCATATCGTATATGACTCTAATCCATATCTGTATCTCCCCATTGATTTTTGTGGAGGTATTTTAGATCAGGTAAATTTAATATATATATTTGTCATAAATCTTATTATAGCCAAGCATTAAAGAATGTAATATAATCATATTCATTTCTTTCATGCTCTTTTATTCTTTTTAGGTTACTTCATTAGTTCATATGCCAAATGGTAAAGTATATGATCCATTGATTGGTCAATGGATGTCACCACTATGGGAGGATGTCTTGGATCGTATTTCAACACCTACACAACTGCATCTATATAGGTTTAACGGTAATGATCCAATAAATATGGATGTTGACAGGGAGAAACCAAAAGGTAAATTCACGAAAAACTACAAAGTTTTAAAAATATATATATTTTTTTATATATAAAACAGGGTTTTTCAAAAAACATGTGCCATCTTTTGTGAAGAGATTCCTCTCCGTTCGGTTTTGCTGCAGTTTCAGTGTCTGTTTCGTAGCTACAAGGGGTTAAAATTGTCATCTTTCTTCGATTTATTATAATTTCTTCCCAATTGCTACAGCGATTCCAATGTAATATTGAGGGTAAGAATTACTTTAAGTGCGACATATATTAATGATAAAAAAGTGTCGACCAGGGTCGTGCATATGGCTTATCACTGGAATATTTTTCTAAAAAAAATATGTGCGCCTCTGGCTTTTATTCCTTTTGTTAGCGAAGTTGTGTAGATTGCTAAATGCTGATTAGAAGGTCTCTTGATATATTTTGTCGATTTCGGTCTCCTTGATGAGATAAATGCAATTTAATTAATTTGCCTTAATTCTAATAGAAAACAACTTGATAAACAACAAAAAAACAACTTGATAAACATGCCATAATGTTAAATAAGTAGGTACTCATTGATTCCTCATCAAAAAAGTATAAAAAAAGTTCCTATAAACATGTATGCGGAAATGCTTAGTTTTAAAGTTACAGGATATCAAAAATTAAAAAAAAACCTTGTGTAATAGAAATGTTCACAAAAAAAATGAAAACGTGCCTACTTCTCATAAAATCATTCATTATGACATTAAAACTCAGTATGCAAAGTTTCATAACATTCCGTAAAAGGCTTAAGCTTAATTTTCATGCATCCGTTATTCGACGGTACTTTGATTGGTTAGAAACCGTTTACCAATCGAAGCCTTTAAATTCAACCAATAAAATTAATATCGTATCATCGTATCGTCGGACAACGGATGCATGAAAATCAAGCTTTATGCCTCAAAAATCCGTGCGAAATTTTCGTAATCCTTTGAATCCGCTAAACGCTCACCTATTGGCCTGACGTCACTGCTTCGATCGGTATTTTCGCGCGAGTAAACGGTGCTGTCTGCACGCTGTGGAATTTCTAACAGAACAAGCTAGAATACGACATATCGCGTTGTGCTCGGATGTAGTTTGTATATTAAATTTGGTTTATTGTGATTAATATTTGGAGGTTATTAGTAGTTTAAAAACAAAGCTACTTGGTGAGATGGAGGACGGGTTTACTTGAAAGCGATAACAAACAACACTTGGTTTTTAACAATACAAAATTATTGAGTTTTTGAAGTGTCAGAGGCCCGTATTTAGGAGAAGGGGGCCAAATTTTAAATTTTAATTATCATATTAAACTGAAATTTGCATGCCTATACAGAAGCTAAGACAATGTAAAATTATCGTATTGTTGATCTGATACAGGGCCGTATTAAGGAGAAGGAGCCAAATGTTAAATTTTAATTGTATTGACCTGAAAATTCACACACGTATACAGGGTGTCCAGTTTAAAACGAGGTACCTACATGGGGAATAATGGGGATCTTGAAGACCGTTAAAGTTACAAGATCGGTTAAATAGAAGAAAAGTTGCGTTTTTGTGTGTCCAAAACTAATCTAGGTCTATTTTATTTAATATTCATATACCGTTACGTAAATCCAGGGAGAAAAAAAAATTGCATTTTCTAAACACCACCATATTTTTTTATTATTGGGACTAAGGTCATCAACATTTTAACATAGGGGTAAGGCAATATGGAAATTTTAAAAATTATGTCCAAAAAATTCTAGGCGTACTACGTTGCGCATGGCCGAAATGTACTTTTGCTTTTCCTATGGGCGCCATATATATGGTTGAAAACATTTTTAATAAGGATTTTTAAAATGCCAAATTTTAATATGGCGCTCATAAGAAAAATAAAAGCTGACCTCGGCCGTGCGCAACATAGAAGGTCTAGGTTTTTTTTTATATCATTTTTAAAATTGCCACGTTGTCTTGCCCATATATTGAAATTTTGATTACCTTAGCTCCAAAAATAAAGAAAATATGGTGGTTTTTCGAAAATGTTCATTTTTTCTTTTTCACCTTGTATCTACGTAACGTATGGATTTAAAATAAAATAGACATAGATTATTTTTGGGCACTCAAATACGCAACTTTGCTTCCATTTAACCGACTTTGTATCTTCAAAGGTTTCCAAGAGAGAGATCCCCATGTACCTCATTTTAAATTGGACACCCTATAGGACCCATATTAAGCGAAAAATTTACAAGTGAAAAAATTGATAAAAAAAACTTAAAACAAGCTTAAAATTAAATGCACTTAAAAGTAGAAAATAAGAATTAAAAGCAAGGGGCGCAAAGTAACGATTTAAACTTTTGTGGATTATTTTTTGAAGTATTAATACGCCCAGGGACAAAACACCACTTATTTGAACTCATTTTACTTCTTCAAAACACCAAAACAATGAAAATAAACAATACACCTTCGTGAACGTCTGCAAAAACAATGCGACAAGTGCACGATCGTACGGACGCCATCGATCGATCAAAGCAGTGACGTCAAAAACAGGTAGCCTCGAGCCGGGTACGTTTTCTAGCCTTGCTGTATTTCTCAATTCTGTTTTGCGTTTATGTGAGAAAATTATAGTTTTTAAGAAAAATTTTGAGTGCCATATTTTTTTACTCATATGCAGCTATCGAAATTCGTTGAAATTAGAAATTAGTGAACATGTCTATTATCTTAGGGCGCAAACATAGTGAGGCATCTCGATGCGATGCTCGCCAAGATGCTGGCCGCGCTGCTCGCCAGGATGCTAGCCGCGATGCATCCTACGCGCACTGTTTTAAAACGGCGAGTAAGTGCGCGTAGGATGCATCGTACAAACATAGTGCGGGGCATTTCACCTCGACGCGATGCGCGCCATTCACCTCGCCATCCGGCGATGCTGAATCAAACATGTACAAATTTATGCGTCAAAACATACTGGAGCCTCGCACCTCGCCACGCACCTACATGTTCAGCGCGATGCTTCCTAGGAAACAAAATTTTTTTTTTTTTTCGAGAAGCGGACGCGGATGCCTGAAACTTTACATTTGATTGGTCGGTTTAGGATCACAATTCGTTGAAAATATGTCGAACTAGAGTCGGGTGGAATAAAATGTTCACAATACTAGTATTTAATTTATCACCAACAATGTAATCAACTTGATTCTACAGGGTCCGGCAATAGTGCGTCGGGCATCTGCAGCTCCTATAATAAAAAACTTATGAATTTTGTAGTCCAGACATAAAGTATGTATTAGGATGTATTTGAGGAAAATATTTGAACTTCTAAATTGTGGCTCAAAAAAGTGTGAGTGGATCGCGAATATTTTTTAAATGGAACACCTATATACAGAGTGGCGCAACTCATTCGCCTTGGTTGATTATACGAAAACGGAAATATGTAGAAACAAAATATTTTATGGGCATATGTGGGAAGACCATGTGCATAATTTAAAATTATTTTGAAATGTACAGGGTGTGTCAGAACTAAGATTTACACCAAAGTTATATTTTTTCTTCTGAAACACCCGGTATTTTATTTCATATTTGGATCCTTGGATATAAAATAAGGCCTTTATTATAAGGGTTATTATATATTAATATGTTTACAAGCTTTAGTTTTTGAGATATTTAAAGATATTTAAATATGCATGCTACAAAGGAACAAATTATCAACACCCTGTGCATTACTTTTTAGAATTAATTATTGTGCTGAGTTTAAAGATAGAGAAATAAACTTTACTGAAAAATTGTATTGCTCCCTTAAATTTATACAGGGGTACCAAAAATTGATGATTTATTTTAAATATTTATTTTACATAAAAACCTTGTTATTTCATTACGACAACCTGTATTTTTTAAAATAAATCTAAACAGATTCAAATGCTCTTTCAAACTATTATTAGGATAGCCTATACCTATCTAGCTCAGATTTTGAATAAAGAGCAATTTTTCAATAAAATGGCAACAAAGAGGGCTGATGTCGTCATGGCAAGTTGCTAGTGACAGTAGCTATTTTCAAAATCGAAATTAGTTTATGGACTTTATTTATTTATGGCAAGTACTTTAATCGCTAGTTGATTAAAAAAAAAGTATACAATTAATATTGCAAATTATATTTTATCCTCTCATAGTATATGTCTTTTTAATTTTTTGATGATGTAACGAGCACTTTGTTTACTCACTTGTTTCGTCGAAATGCTTGAATCCATTTTTGCTTTTGATCAAATCTATGAAGCTAGATATATAAAGATAAAATTTTGTTTCGGGAGAGTTGAATATCCGGGAAAGTTGAGTTATTGAATGTATGTAATTGCACCCAAGAACGCCCTAAGTACGCTCTCCTTTACACGTTGACATTTTTTCGGCAATTTTATTAACATTTGAAATTGTCCCAACACAGCACGACGCCTAGTTCGAATTTTTTTCATTTATTTTTTATTACCCGAAACAGCGTTACATCACACAAACCTCGTACCTGAGTGTTTTATCTCTTTTTTGTCTCAATAATTGCACTAACAAAAAACTAAAATACTTAAATATTATAACAAAACCATGATTTCAATATTATTGTATGGGATCAACATGACGGCGGCGGCGTGGCCACGTCAAATAGGTAGGGATAATATCTGATTTTTGCCGTTGTAGCGCTGCGGTCGGAATTTGTTGAAATCAACTGAAATGCAACAAGGGCCTATACTAATTAATTAATTAATAACTACTTTATATAAACTGGTGTTTAACAAAACGGCGATGGTAAATGCTTCAGTATGCCTACGCGCATCTATTCGCCTTTTTAAAACAGTGCGCGTAGGATGCATCGCAGCTACCATCCAGGCGAGTAGCGCGGCCAGCATCTTGGCGAGCATCGCATCGAGATGCCTCACTATGTTTGCGCCCTTAGGTACCATTTTTTAGGTAAATTTGCTGTAGATAGCACTGTGCATCAGTGATATAAATTTTAATAAAATTTAGTAATAAATTACATTAAAAAATAATTAATTTTTTTAATGTAATTTTTTATTTTTATTTTATTAATTGTGATTAATAAAATTGCGTTTATCTCCTCGATAAAATCAAGGAATAATATACAAAACACAAAATACATAAACAAATACAAAATATCATGATACAGCTTTTAGTCGGCATTAAATGGCCTACACACTTTTGCTAATAATCGGAAAAAATCAGTTTAAAAAAAATATTCCAGTGATAGCCAAACCTTTTTCTTCTTGCAATAGGGTTATCCATGTATAAAACAACTATTTAGGCCTCTTGTGAACCGGCCGTCCAACTTTCGTACCATCTTTTTGGTGGCCTGCCAAGTCTGGGTGTGTTAGGTATTTGTGTTCGTGCCTATTTTGCTTTTCTATCATGGTCCATTCTTTCAATATGGTCTTTCCAATGACGCCTTCTTGATCTACCCCACCTCACTATGTCTTGCACTCCCAATTCCTCTCTGATGTCGTGGTTTTGCATTCTTAGAGTGACTATCTCTTAGAGTGACTCCGCGTATTTTTCTTAATACATTCATTTCTGTTATTTTGAGTATTGTCTTTGTTTTGATGTTTCGGCTGAAGTTTCTCTAACTGGTCTAACACAAGTCTTGTATATAACTCTACTTTCTCTTGACATAAATTTATTTCTCCACATGGTATGTCTTAAGTAGCCAGAAATTCGTGCTGTTTTGTTTTGTAACACCTGGTTAATTGTTTGGTTGTTAATTACGAGTTTGCATCTGACTGGTTTTTTCGGTATTACCATTGATTGCGTTTTTTCCACGGATATCTGCATGTTGAAAGATTCAGCTTTATTTGTTAGTCGGTAGAGGAGTCGCTGTAGATTTCCCTCGTTCCGACGGATTTCTGACCCATTCTGTATCCAATGTCCAAGAGTTTAATATCTTTGATCAGCTGATCCATAATGATATTAAAGAAACTAGGATTGGGCTGTCCCCTTGCCTCACGCCGACAGAAACTGGTACATTTTCAGAAAGGCCGTCTTGAAAGTCTTTTAAAGGGTATTTTGTTCTAATTTTGTTACAGTTTCCAGTGTTTAGCTGCGTTATTAATCAGCAGTAAGTTTCAGATGTATATGTTGTCTCTTAGAATCCTTATGGCGTCTGTCAGACGAACTCTATCAAATGCCTGCTTCAGACCAACAAAGCGCAAAAACAATGGCTTGCTGAACTCTATGGATTTCTCCACCATTTGACTCAGTATAAATATCCCGTCACCGTTGGTCTGTTGGGTATAAAGTCTTGTTGTTCTTCGTTTATGTTTATGTGTTCACTAAGTTTTTGCGTTAATATATTAGTTAGTAACTTAGCCACAGAGCACAGCAGTGTTATTCCCATGTAATTAGAAGAATTGTATTTTTTTTTCCTTTTTTGTCTATGAGGATCTTTTGGAAGAGTATTTAGATCTGCCGCGTAATTTCCGGTCCTCCATACTTGATAATTCATTAGAGATGTCATCGATGCCAGCGGATTTTCTGTTCTTTAATTTGTTAATCCCCTGTATAACGTCTTGCTCTATTATGTCTTTATTTCCCCGAATCCACCACAGTACCGGAGGAGCCGACTTTGGACCTCAGTCTCTGGCTGAGTCCCTCACTGAGGAAAATAAATAAGGTCAATTCGAAAATGGTAGGTTAACTGTTGATGTTGTATGCATCTGTAGGCAACTTTTTCTGTCTATTATTTCCTCGAACTAGAGAACAACTTCTTATAAACGTAAAAATCTTATAGATCAAATAGGTGGTTGGCTCTATTTTATTGTGCTTAGTAACAGTGCTCTATCTGTGTCCATGTCTTAACGATAATTTCGAGTAAATCTGAATTGTTTCTGCATTACAGTACAAAGTAAAGCGGATACTGATGTTGTTTCCTCATAGGGTAGTATTTCATTTTGTATTATGTTCTCCTGTACAGGATGGTATAAGTTCTGGAAGTAGCTTACCCATGCACCCGACTTGATAGCTTTAATAGTTATTTCTTTGTTAAGCGTTTTTTTGTTCCCCAACTTTTCCACACTTTTCTTTGACCTCCATAAAGATGATATTGCATTTCAACTGAGAAGTCTTCCCAGTATCCTTCTTTCAGTAGTTTTATTTGGTTGTTCATTCTGTTTCTTACTAACTTATAGTGCTTATGTTCTTCCTGTGTTCTATTGTTAATGTATTTTATATACGCATATTTATGTTCAAAAAAATGTACTGTTTATGCGTAGTTCATTGTGTGCGCTGAATTCAATAAGCATGTTTCCGTTTTCATTTATTATTTCATCATTATACTTGTTCACTACCCCCTATTATGTCGTTGCCAACTCTCGAGTTAAACCCCATATGAGAAATACCTTTTGATCGTGTGCTATTTCATCTAGTGTTTCTTGGAGTCTTTCGAAAAACATTTCTCTTTTAACTTTGGGTTTATTCATGTCAGGTGTGTAGATACTGACGAAATGAGTCATACTTGAGATTTAGTGATATACATTATTCTCGAGTCTGTATGTTTTACATCTTCGATACAACCTTTATCTTTGTTGTTCAGCAGGATACAATTTATATTTGTTGTTCGGCAGGTTCAGCAGAATAACAGACGAGCTCTCTCGTCTTTATCTACACCGCTGGTTGTAGTTATTGTACCTTATGTCGCACTTGCCTTTCTTTTTTGTTTCTGCTAAAGCACATATGTCTATTTTGTGGGTATTTATTTCTGTGATAATCCCTTGGTCTTTGTTGTTCCATGAAGCAATGTTCCAACATGCTATTCTTAGTGTTTTTTTCCAAATCGTTTATTCCCTTTTCTCGCCGTGTCTATTGTCCGTAAGTCCCGTCCTATTTCCGAGACTGATGTAGCTGTTCTCTGAGCAGGAGATGTTTTTACTATGAGTAGGTTGCTAGCCTCATCCATCAACCCTCTTCCTTTATCCGGGCTTGGGACCGGCAGTGGCTCACTGAGCTACTCAATCCACCACAGGCGGAGTTGACTTCAACCTCCTGTGGCTAGGAAATAAAACAGAATTGGACCCATGTTGATATGAAAATTGAATATTATTTTTACCTGAGGAATCTCCCCACCATAGATGACACATGTTTATTTAAACACTCTGTATATCCTTATTCTGGTGTCTTTCAGATCATATTGACTGGTTGCAAAAGATAGGTGTTGATCTAAAGAGCATATCACCACAGTTGTTTATGGAAAAACTTTCTGGAGGACAATTATCTCCCCAAATAAGTACAGAAAGATCATGGAAACTTCAAAACGTTATTACTAGTCAACTAACCAGCAGCAGAAGAATTACAGAAGCAGAATCTGGTTTCTTGGCCCATATTAACTCAAAAAGAATGCAGAACGCTTATGAACTAAGCGTATTCTCAAAATCTGCGCTTAAAGTCGATGCTATTAATCTAAAACCGAAAAAGATTGGGGCTTCTTCTGATCCACCATTTGGAAGAGGTAATTAAAATTAGTTCAACTTATGGTTATCGATTTTTTGACTTTCATATTTCTACTACTATTTAATTAACCAACATATTACTGTATTTGTGGTTCACATTTAGTCATGGGTAACACTCTAAATTTTCGTGTTGATACATTGATACCTTTTCCGGTATCAACATCGTGTATCAGCTCGATTATGTCATATGACATAGTAGTAAATCAGCATTATTTTACATAAACACACACAGGTGTCGCGTTTGCGGTTTCTCGTGCTCACGTTCGACAGGCCCGAAGGCCCGAAAAATTGAGTACTTTGAAATACAAGAAAAATTAAACACACTTTTTGATAATCTAAGAGTAGTTTCATGTATTTGTTGTATAATATAGGAGTACAGGTCGACTCTTAAGAGCTAAAGTTGTCTTTTGTATTATTTGTGATATTAATTACACGTTGATTTATTATTTATATTTATTTATTAACTTCTGTACAGGTAAATGTACAGGTAGCATAAACTAAACTTAACGTGAACTTAACCTAATCTCCACTGCGTTCCCGCGCTCTCACTGTTGCGTCCTTGTCCAATTCCACAGAGTAGTAACCGCACTCATCACAACACTATATACATATTACCACATATCTCCTCTTAAACTAGTTAACAAATACGTTAATACAATCTATTCAAATGTACAATTATAGTCACTAAACCTAATTGGTGTTTTCTTAATTCTATGAGATCTTTTATCATTAATTATAAAGTTATGATTGTTATTAATTTTTTGTTGCTTTCTTTGATTAGTGTCTTTTATTAAATATATCTGGTTGCGCTCTATAACTGAACCATTACATAGCTTAACAATAAAAGTACGAGGCTTATGCGGGTTATTAATTATTTTCCCTGACACCCATTCTGATTTATCCTGCTTTTGTACTCTAACCTTATCTCCCTTTTTAAATAAAACATTTCTGAATTTAACATGTTTATCATAATTCTGTTTTTGTCTATTTTGTCTCTTTAATAAATTTTGTTTAATGACATTATTCTTATTATAATTTACATTATTACAAAATTTTGGCATCAAACTAGTTACTTCTCTATTAAATAAAATTTCTGATGGTGATGGTAGTCCGTTATCCACAAGAGTTGTTCTGTACTATAACAGACATAAGTACAAATCTTTATTATCATAGTCTGCTTTTTGCATCATATGTTTAAAACTCTGTATGCAACGCTCTACCATACCATTTGACTGTGCATGCGTTGGGCTTGATGTTATATGTTTTATACCCCAAGCTTTCACAAAATCTTTAAATTGTTCTGAACTATAATTAGTTCCATTATCTAATCTTAAGATTTTAGGAATTCCATGTCTTGCGAAAAATTACTTTAACGATCTTATAGTATGAAAACTATCTATTTTTTCTAAAAGTGATGTTTCAATGTATTTAGAAAAATAAATCAATTACAATAATATAATTTTTTCCCTTAAAATTAAATATATCTGTACCTACTGTAACCCAAGGCTTATCTGGAATATTTGAAGGTATAAGAGGTTCCTTTGCATTACTATGTCGAAAATTTAAACATGTATCACAATTTAAAATATATTTCTCAATATCACTATTGATATTAAGCCAATATAAAGACGTTCTTGCTCTTAACTGACATTTTGTTATACCCATATGATTATAATGTATAATTTTTAACATCTCTTGTTTAAGACTCTCTGGTACTATTACTTTTTGTCCTTTAAACAGAACATCATTTATTGCAATTATTTCATCTCTGTAATTCCACCATTCCTGTAGTTCCTCTTTTAAATTTTCTTTTTTCTCAGGCCATCCATCTTTGACTGTTTTTAGCAATTCTTTTAGTACCAAATCTTTTTTAGTTTCAGCTTGAAAATTTTTGAACTTTGTATCAGACATTGGCAAAATTTTATCAATTAAATTAATATGTGCTTCAATTTCTTTCAAATTTAATCCATCTTCGTTAATTTGTCCTTTAATGAATTGTCTAGATAAACAATCAGCCAATAGTAATTCTTTGCCTGGTTTGTACTGAATATCCAGATCATAATTTTGTAGCTTAATTAGCATTCTCTGAAGTCTTAATAGACAGTTAATTAAAGGTTTTTTAGCAATGCTTAAAAACTCTATGCTAACCAACCAATGGTTTGTGATCTGTTTCGACCTTTATCTTTCTACCAAAAATATATTGATGAAATCTTAAACATACAAATACTATTGCTGCCATCTCTTTCTCGATCTGAGCATATCCACTCTCACATTTTGTTAATGATCTGGAGGCATATATTACTGGTAAATTGTTTTGCAGTAATACAGCTCCTAATCCATTCTTTGAAGCATCTGCTGAAAGAGTAATCGGTAATTTAGGATTATAAATTTGCAGTACAGGTGCTGATGATAGTATATTCTTTAAGTTTTCAAAAGCTTTTGCATGTATCTTGTTCCATTCAAAAACAGTGTCTTTCTTTATTAATTGTCTTAAGTCAGCTGTTGACTCTGAAAGCTGTGGAATGAATTTTGATTCCCAGGAAACGTTCAACAACTTGTTTACATTTTGGTGGTGGCATTTCTACTATGCTTTTAATCTTGTCTGGATCTGGCCTGATTATTGAAGAACCAATCACATGTCCTAAAAACTTGACCTCCTTTAAGTTAAACTTACATTTATTTTTGCTAAATTTTATATTTGATTCTTGTGCTCTTTTAAATACCCTGCTTAAATTTTCGTCATGCTCTTTTTGATCTTTTCCATATATAAGCATATCATCAATGTATGAAATTTGACCAGGAATACCTTCAAAAATTTGATGAAATCTCTTATGAAAAACCTCTGGTGCTGATGCTATGCCAAAAGGTAACCTTGAGAACATATATCTACCAAATGGAGTAGCAAAACAGCATAATTTCTTGCTTGGCTCATCCAATGGTATTTGATAGAAACCACTATTGGCATATAAAATACTGAAAACGTTCGCGTCATTTACTTGTGTTAATATTTCTTCAACTGTTGGTATTTGATAAAACTCACGTTTAATTATTTTGTTAAATTAACCGGATCTAAACAAACACGAATTTTGCCATTAGGTTTCCTGACAACTACCATGGGATGAACCCAGTCAGTTGGATCATTTATTTGTTCAATTATTTTAAGACGTACTAACCTATCTAATTCAGATTTAACTTCATTTTTAATTGACATTGGAATTTTTCTTGCATTAAATACTACTGGTGTTGCGTCTTTATTAATTTTAATGTTATGTGTATCTTTTAAACAACCTATTCCACTAAAAATATCAGAATATTTTTTCAATAAATTATTTTCTTTAACCTCATTAATTCTTTGTATCAATTTTAAAGTCTTACATGTTTCTAAACCAAGAATAGCTGAACATACTTTTGTCGTATCTACCACGTAAAAATCTAAACTAACTTTCCCTGATTTATTTTTTACATTCCCTAACAACGTAATTTTGCCTAGATTATTTATTTCTTGGCCATCAAAATTATATAATTTTACTTTAGATGGTTCTAATTTAACATCAGACAATTTATCTAAATTACGCTTAGGAATAATATTTGCCTGCGCCCCTGTGTCTAGTTTAAACTTTATAAATACCTTTTTGTCTTTATTTTGTAACTCTAACACCTCTGTCCAATCTTCCTTCTCACTGGCTTTTCCCACTGTTCCAATGTACAAATCGTCTTCATCCATATCTTTATTTTCTGGTTTCTGTGACCTCACTTCATTGACTCTCTTCATTTTACACATTTTTGCATAATGATTCTTCTTGTTACACTTGTTGCACACTTTTCCATACGCTGGACATTCATTTATCTTGTGCGAATTTCCACATCTGGTACACTGATTTATAAAGTCTTTTTTGTGGATTGTTCCATCATTTTTGCTTGAAGTGCTTGGCTTCTTATCATTTCTCTTTACTCTCTCTTTTTCTTTCTTATGTATCTTGTCCACTTGTACTGGTGCATCGGACTCAATTTCCTTGGTTCGGTTTAAAGTAATTAATGCTGCGTGGCAAAGATCAATACACTTATTTAAATTTAAATCAGCTTCTCCTAGTAGCTTCTCTCTTAATTTATTGTCTGTAATACCATATACTATTCTGTCTTTGATCAAGGAGTTTCTTAGTTTTCCAAAATCACAAGTTGCAGATAATGCTTTTAAATCAGTTACATATGCGTCAAAACTTTCACCTGCTGTTTGATTTCTTGTAAAGAATTTATGTCTTTCAAACGTTAGATTGGTCTTAGGCACAAAATATCCATTAAACTTTGTAATGAGATTGTCGTATGTAAACTCATTTTGCTTCAGCTCGAATGAATTATATATTTCTATTCCATCACTTCCCATACAGTGTAGTAATAGATTGTATTTTCTATTCTCGTCTGCAGCAATCCCCGATGCGTTTACAAATATCTCGAAGTTTTGTTTGAACTTAGGCCACAGGTGAGCCGCATTATCTTGTCTAACATCAAAATTTGGCGGTTTCAATTCCATTATTTATTTTCTTATTGGTTTTCCGACTGCGCCATGTATTATTTGTGATATTAATTACACGTTGATTTATTATTTATATTTATTTATTAACTTATGTACAGGTAAATGTACAGGTAGCATAAACTAAACTTAACGTGAACTTAACCTAATCTCCACTGCTTTCCCGCGCTCTCACTGTTGCGTCCTTGTCCAATTCCACAGAGTAGTAACCCCACTCATCACAACACTATATACATATTACCACATCTTTTAAATTAGAAAATTAATGCACACATCCTCAATAAAAGGATGGCGGCAATAGTCCCTGCCTTAGGTGGCAACTTTGGTTTACAACGGCAGTTGTTATCCAAAATCGGAGATCGGTAATTGCCATAACACTAAACACACCACGCTATACGTATTTTATATATACCGGGTGCGTCTCAAAAGTGGCTCACTGAAAATAACACTCTGAATAGAATGACATATCATATGTCAACTTTTGACATTTTCGAATATGGTTTATTTGAAATTGCAACATACGATTCATAACGACAATTTGACTCGGAAATACCAAGGGTGTGGACCAAATTATTAGTAAAAAAAATGCCTTTTCCAAATATGCTAATGAGCCACCCTCGTTCCATTTGAAAAAATTGAGATATGATTAAAAATGCGATTTGGGCATCTTTTAACCCACCATTAAATCACACTAAAACATTAGACGATCAAATCTATTTTTCCAAGGCTCCTTGATTAATAATAATTAGTGTTTTTAACATAGCCATGGTACCCTAGATTGAAATTTAATATACAATTTTGTTTCAAGCGAAAATGTCAAAAGTTGACATATGATATGTCATTCTATTCAGAGTACCATTTTCTATCGAAAAAATATATTACCGATGGTACCTTTTAAAAATCAAAAGTTGTAGTCATTTCCGGTGAAACAGGAAGTGGCCGAAAAGGATTGAATACATCACTAAATCCTAATTTGTATCATATACTGATATTTTTAATTGTGCAAATCTGGTATTTTTATTTGAAAAAATAAAAAAGTTATAAGGGTGAGCCACTTTTAAGACGCACCCGGTATATTAGTTATCGTCTGATTTCTTTTATATTTTCCTATTTAATATTTGCCACGACTCGACGGTGCATGGGTTGTCTAAATAAAACCGAAACTGCAATGCTTTAAATCGAATCCATGTAAGAAAACCACTTTTTTATCAACAAAGATGCAAACGAGAGTCGTCTACACATTTCAAACCTCGGTAATATTTTTCATAAACGATAACAAATTTAATCGTAGGTTTCCAGTAATACTGAGTCGCAAAACTGCAAACAAATATCAATGCTCCTATACGTATAACCAGAGATCGAATAACATTTGCCCAGCGTGATACAATGTATCACATGTTTGTACGTTTAGCATTTAGTTCACATATCCAATCATCAAGTTTTATGTGTCATTAAATAGATATTCAGGATTCGGTAATAGTGCGTCGGGCATCTTTTTGAGCAACGACGGACAAAAATTTGGGAATTTTGTTTAAGTTGTACCTAAAGTATGTTTTATGATGTATTTCAGGAAAATATTTTAACTTCTATAGGGTGGGTCAAAAAAGTGTGAATGGCTCGGGATTATTATTTTTTAAATGGAACACCCTGTATAAAATTGCATTTTTCGCTTCCTTTCAGATCACTTTACATACTGCTAAGGTATGAGTAAGTATAATTCGATACTTTTAGAGATATTAATAAATAAATAAAAAATATATATTTTTTAGCCTTTCTTAAAAAAAATAATAAAAAATACAAGAGCTGTCCTGAAATTAAAGGTATATTAGGTATTTATTTTAGATAGACTGTCCTCACATTGTAAACATGGTAATCGTAAATCATACAGTGTTCAAAATTCTACGCCAAGCTTCTAAAAATATAAAATAATTTTTCTTTGTTTTTTTAATGGAACGCTCTGTATATTATTTTCTCAGTAAATGGAGAATTAAAAAAATGAACATTTTAATTCTCCATTTACTGAGAAAATAATATACAGAGCAATACACATAAATACAAAAAACAATACAAATGAACGTTTTATATCTGATATGGTATTTTTTAGAGTAAATTTTAATCAGACACACACACAGGTTTTCCTCTCGTATTTTACCGTTGAAAGTTGAAAGAGAAATATACACGCAATATTATTACCAAACCATTAAAAAGTTTGAAATACTTTAAATGCAAAAAAAATATTTTTTTAACTCTCCATCTTATAAAAAAATAACATACAGAGCGTTCCATTAAAAAAAACAAAGAAAATTTATTCTATATTTTAGAAAGCTTGGCGCAAAATTTTTAACACTCTGTATGATTTAAGACTACGATATTTATAGCAAAGTTAAGTACAGGCCATATAAAGTAAATACCAAAATAATATTTTGATTTCAGAAGTTCTTATATTTGTATAATAATTTTTTCCAAGGTTGATAAATATATATTTTTTTATTTATTTATTAATATATCTGAAATTATCGAAATATATTTATTCATATCTTAGGATTATGTAAAGTGATCTGAAAGGAACCCAAAAATGCAATAATATACAAGGTGTGTTAATATACAATGATTTAAAAAAAATCATATCGATCCATTCACACTTTCTTGAGATATCTTAAAGAAGTTTAAATATTTTCCTGACATCCTCGTACATACTTTAGGTTTGCTCTGAATTCTAAGTTTTTTTTTTTATCTAGGAGCTTCAAATTCCCGACGCACTATTGCCGGATCCTGTATACCGGGTGGTGCATCGTCGTTGGAAGCATAGGAAATCCCATGCAAATTTGGAACGGTTCAAATATTGGCTCCCCTGTTGATTTTACAGCAAAGTCGTAAATATATTTTTTAAAGGTTTATGTATGGTAAACCCACACGCTAAATTTGAACAATTTTATACCAGCCGATTTTGAGTAATTTAAAAAATATTGCATATATTTTTATATTAAAACCGAACAGGTAATAATCAAACACCAGTCAAAAACTGACGTACCTTAGGTGATTTTGTCATTGTCAAAAATAATTTAATTTTAATAAAATTTTAATATTCAGGGGAAAATAACCAAGTCATGTCAGATAGACTGTCTAAGCTATTTCCCGCGTAGTGCCATTTTATCATGCCTACTTTTTAGTACTGAATATTAAAACTAATCTGTTTGAAAATGACGGTGATAACTTAAGGTATGTCGGTTTTTGACTGGTTACCTGTTCAATTTTAATTTCAAAATAGATGCAGTTTTTCTCAAATTACTCAAAATCATCTTGTCGAAAATGGCTTAAATTTGGCATATGTGTTTACCAATCGTAGACCTTAATAAAATATATTTACGACCTCGCTATAAAATCAATAGGGGAGCCAATATTTGAACAGTTCAAAATTTGCGTGGGGTTTCCTATATTTCCAACGACAATGCACCACCCGGTATATAAAATTGAATTATTTTTCAGCTAATATAGTCATCTCTGACATTAATTATTATTCATATTCAATGTAATTATTTGAGAGTTTTACAAATTATATGACTCGAATGTTACTAATAGCTAAAATAGTTATTGTATTGATAATAAAATTAGTGGTAATTATATATGTTATAAAATGTTCTAAATCCTATATTTTTCAGGAATTTTGGTATCAAAAACAGATTCCGGTGAAGCTATAGTATCGAGCGTACCAGCAGCTAATCCCATTTATAGCGATGTCTACACATCGGTATTCAACCGTTCATATTTTTTGCCATTCTCCTTTATAGTTCACAGTAATCAACAAGATGCTTTTTACTTTGTTAAAAAAGATACATGGAAAATTAACGACGATAAAGCGCAACTAAAAAGATTACAAGGTCAGGTCAATACGACTTTCCACGAGAATGTTAAAGAAAATGGAAGTGGAAATAATTATTTTGATGTAAAAATTCATGGTGCAAATGCTGTAATTAATTTAAGGTAAGAAAAATAATGTAAGATTTTATCCAACAAATAATGTCTATATTTTTGTGGCGGGTTCATTTCTCAAATAAAATGCTTGGCTTTTCGCCACTGGAAGGAAATCTACTAAATAAAAAAGTTACTTTTAGTAAACTCCAGCACATTGAATCCGAACGGAAACTATCTTACTATGGTGGTTTTACCTACTAAAGGAAATTTGCCTAACCGACAAAATGTTCTTAAGGTTTAGTAGTGTAGCAAAATAACAAAAAGATAGTGCGGCATCTAGAGATTGAGTCTGGAAAATGTTGTGGCAATATTCAAATAAAATACTATAGGCTTGGTGCATTTCAGTTGATTTCAAAAAATTTCGACCGCAGCGCAGCATACGGCAGAAATCCGAAGTCTTTACCATGTATTTCACACGATCCCGGTTACAGTTCATGATGATCGCAATAAAATATAGAAATCGTGGCTTTGTCATAATATTTAAGTATTCTAGTATTTTTATTCAGGTACTAGGTTTGTGTGCTAGGTTTCTGTAACGCTGATTCAGGTAGTGAAAATTAAGTGAAAAAGAACACAACGTAACCCGGATTTCCAAGTAACGTTGGATTTCCATTAAGCTATCTACATTACTGTCTTGCACATTAAAATCCAGACCACATTTCTAAAATGACCCGATTATACCGATTGTTTAGGATATTCTCCGATGGCGGAAGCACCGACGGAGAATGCAACAAGCCTATAGGTTTGAATTAAATTTGCGTTGAAATGTTTTATGACTACGGAAACAAAAAGTATTCTTGGATTTTTCTGAATTTTGAATTTTAATTGCTATTAATAATCTATTTTGTTATAACTTTATTTTGTACTGCATTTTACCTTATAGAAATTTATAATAATTATTTTTGGGGGGGAGGGAGTAATGGAAGTGATTACCTTCATTATCCTTCCCGTTGAATCTAGAATGTATGTTTTTACACCGGTTTTGCTAGTGGAGTAATAATTGGGGCTATTTCGGCTATAACGAAATTTTTTGAAGGTACATAATTTATTTTTTAATTAATTATGTAACTTTGTTTACTCACTTGTTTCGCCGAACTGCTTGAATCCATTTTTGAGTTTGATTAAATCGGTGTGAGAAACTATGAAGCTAGAAAATGTTGTTTCGGGAGAGTTGAATATCCGGAAAAGTTGAGTTACTGAATGTTATTGCACCCAACAACGTCCTAATTACGCTCTCCTTTACGCGTTGACATTTTTTTCGGCTATTTTATTAACATTTGAAATTGTTACACGACGCACGGTGCGGCGGATGGTAATGCTAGCGAGACAAAGCCATTTTTTTAGAAATAAGCCAAGAAATATGTACTGATAAGAATAAATAGTAGACATTCCAATTGATCTAAAAATGCAACAATTATTTTATGGTCGTATACCTATATTCTTTGTATTTCGATACATTTTTATCAACCAAATTTAGTCGTTTTTTGGTCAGCAAGGTAGAGGTCATACGAAAACAAAATATTTACAAGTGCTTATACATTTTATTCCAAAACCAAATTATGTGGAAGAATACCAAAGGTATGTGCTTTTATACTGTACGAATATTGTTCGTTAAAATCCTTCGCGCCTTTAGTGTGCAGATATCAAACTTTCACTTTTTTTCAAATATCGATATATTGAATGATGTAGATCTTGTGACTTACCAATAGTTACCAAAAAGTAATAAACAATTTTGATGCCAGAATGTTTGTAGTATCTATGCCCATATTTATTTTTACCAGCCGTTACTACCAGACTGTTGAAAAAACATAATTTTTCGCGAATAGTCTCGCACCTGTTCAGCCGCCAACAATTTTTTGAAGCCCTCAAGAAAAAAGGTGTTTTAAAACTAACATCTAAGACCGTTTGACCGTTTTGTAATATGTTGTGATGCAATTCTTGGATCCCAACTCTCTTTAAGCTTCATTCAGAACCTCGCAGTTAGTGGAATAAATTAGTGGTCTCAATTAGCGTAAAAGTTTGTTCCTTTAATTTCAATGTAAGCATTCAGAACGTCAACATTAGTGGTAGAAATTTTCAATTAGTAGAAAAAGTTATTAAACTTTTGACTTTTCCACTAATTATACTTCAAAATTTGCCAGAAATGTCCTTTTGGCATTTGATTATCTTCCGTCAAGAGAAATTGTGGTTATAAACCAAAATTTAATTGTTTTATAAGCTAAATGTAATATATTTATATAGAAATAATAAACTACTTATTTCTTAATCAAGTATATTGATTCTCAACTAAACACTAATTACAATAATAACGTGGTGGTTAATAGATAGAGACCAAAAAACGCCATTTTTATATCGTCTGTCGGAAACTCCGAAATATAAGGGTATAATAAGTTGCCTACCTTACATCTCTCCACCCCTAAGATTAATAATTTTACAAATTTAATCTATTTGGAGGTTTAATTTGCCTCTTTGGCCTACTATTGACATTGCTAATTTCTTGTCTTAATTCTATTTTAGGTTTATCGCCAACAATAGTCTTAACACTAGTGTCACTGATCACTTCACTATTAGCACTGTCATTTATATTTTCTAATACAACATTATCACTTATAATCTCAGGTAGTTTCATATTTGTACAGTTATCTTTTTTAATTTCAACATTTTGTGGTCGTACGACATTCCAATCAGACGCATAGTCACTGGAGTTATTTAACTCTTTAACACTATCTTCATAAAAGTTTCCAGTCTTTATGATTTGATTGAAATGGAATGGCATGGGGACATGCGCCTCAGACCACACGTATCTTTGGGATTCAGAGAAGGGCTGTTAGGGTGTTGGCGGGGTTGGGCTACAGAGAGGACTGTCGGCACGCTTTCAAACAGCTTAAAATAATAACTTTGCCCTCTCAGTATATTCTCGAGAGCCTACTCTGCATAAAAAAGCATAGAGAGAGTTTCGAAGTGCATAGTGAAGTCCACGACCATGACACGAGAAACAAAAATAATATTTTACCCGCTTACTACAGACTGAGGAGGTGTCAGAGTGGCCCGGATTACTGAGGTGTTAGGTTCTTTAATGTACTGCCTGTGACTATAAAAGAATTATCAGAAAGTAAATTTAAGGATAGGGTGAAACAACTTTTAATTGAAAATGCTTTCTGTAGTTATGATGATTTTATTAAACATGGATTTTAGACAATAGAAAATAATTTTAGACAAGAAATTTTAAAGTGTAAACTGTTGTATCATGTTAATTGTATAGAGTTAAGGTTTTAAGTGTGTCTATGTACACGTGTAAACTTTGATTGTCTTATTTGTATTTTAATTATTTTATTGACGATTGTAAATGCTGCTGAGTATATTAACATAATAATAAATTTGATTTGATCTGAAATGTCGGCGCCATATTTGTGAATTTTCTATAATTTTACATTCATAATTTTCTAATCCTAACCTTTTTAAAATTACAGCTTTTACCCAATGAGAACTATCTCTTCTATAATCTTTTACATATACTTCTTCCCCTTCAACAAAAGCTACTATTCTATTACCCTTATGATATCCAATCTGCTTATTTCTGTATATATCTGATTTACTTTTTGTTAAACAATCTAATTTGGTTTTAATATTGCGAGAAAACATAATTTTTGCTGGTTTCTCTTGTGTTACGCAATGTGGTGTATTTCGATATGAAAACAAATACCTGCTTACCAGAGTCGATATTTTCGTAGTCCCCTGTTTTCTTCAATCAATAACTTGTTTAAAGCTGCTTTAAATGATTTAACTCCATTTTCAGCGGCACCATTGGTAGCTTGATGGTATGGTGTGGTGATGTTCTATATTATTCATCTTACAAAAATGTTCAAATTCTTGTGAAACAAACTGAGTTCCATTATCCGTAACTATCATATTTGGTAAACCGAATCTAGCAAAACAGTCTCGTAATTTTTCTAAAGTGGTTTCTGTGTCAATTTTAGACATTTCATAAATTTCTGGCCATTTTGAAAATGCGTCAATGATAATAAGATAAGTCTTCCCCTTAAATGGCCCTAAAAAATCCAAATGAATACGATCAAATACATGTTTACCCTCTCTATATTTCAGCAAAACTGCCTTTTCTGGATTTCTTGAATTTTTCATGCATGCCTCACAATTTTTTACATACTCTTCTATGTCTGAGTCTAGTTTAGGCCACCAAAAATATTGTCTTGCTAATGATTTCATTTTAACCATTCCATTATGTGCTCCATGTATTTCCTCTAACAGCTGATGTCTAAATTTCTTCGGTATTATTACTCTGTAGCCCCACATAAGTAATCCATTGTCAATACATATTTCAGTGGCTCTTCGACTGTATGGTTTTAGTTCCTCAGGAATACTGTTTAGCCACTCATCTCTGATATATCTAAAAACTTCACTCAAAATGTTATCAATTCTTAATTCTTTTACTATCTGTTCACGTCCGACTGGCATTTTATCTTCAACTTATCTCTAACCATGTTAGCATCATCAGCAGATGATTATAAACTAAAGTACAATCTACAAGTTGAGCGTCTATATAGTGGGCACCCCCAGTGGGCACCCAGTGGGCGTGGCAAAATCTAGCCAACCGAGTCAAAACCCACTGAGCGTAACAGTTAGATTTCCGCCACTAGAGTAGTAGGAACAAAGAACTTGATGGAATTGGACCGTTGTCTCTGTTCTTTACCATCTTTACATTTATTAATTCTGATGCTTTTATATGCATCTAATGAGTGTTTTTAATCATGGAGAATAACTGAGAGATACAAGAAGAGGATAGAGGCCGTAGAAATGGATGTCATTTGAAGATAATGGGAATTTCAAGACAACAACGAATAAGAAATAATACCATAAAACAACAAATGGGTATAGAAGGTACGATAACACAGGATATAGAGAAAAAGTAGCTGATCTGGTACAGACATGTAGAGCGAATGAAGGACACTAGATGGCCCAAGAAAAAAATCAATTGGCAACCAAAGGGCAGAAGAAAACAGGGAAGACCGAAACTGGAATGGCAAAAAAGCGTACACAAAGCGATGAGTGAAAGAAACCTGTCAACAGAGGATTGTACGAATAGAACAGAGGATTGTACGAATATATATATATATATATATATATATATATATATATATATATATATATATATATATATATATATATATATAAGAAGGGGGGAATAATTATATGAAGGGGGGAACCAAGCTCCACTCCCACAACCGGTTTCTGGGCCTACCCTTCATCAGGTGGGCTGACCAGGGGCTGGTTCTCACCGATACGGCAAGCAAAACTTCTTCTATATCAACAAACTTCTTCTATATACCTTTACGACAAGCAAAACAATTTTCTTTATACTTCTTATTTATTTTTTTTAATTTTTTCTCTACTTTCGATTTTTCGAAATTAGAAAAACTACACAGCTAAAGGCAAGAAAATATTATTTATTAATATACACTAAAGCTGTAAGAATTTTGTTCATTTCATATATTTGAGCGGGCCGAAAAACGCTCTTTACCATCTTTTGACGGGAGATGCACTAATATCTCACCGACACTTTACGACATCGTCTGCAGATATAGAAGAAGTTTTGCTTGCCGTATCGGTGAGAACCAGCCCCTGGACAGCCCACCTGATGAAGGGTAGGCCCAGAAACGGGTTGTGGGAGTGGAGCTTGGTTCCCCCCTTTACGACAAGCAAAACAATTTTCTTTTTACTTTTTATTTTTTTTTTAATTTTTTCTCTACTTTCGATTTTTCGAAATTAGAAAAAATACACAGCTAAAGGCAAGAAAATATTATTTATTAATATACACTATAGCTGTAAGAATTTTGTTCATTTTATATATATATATATATATATATATATATATATATATATATATATATATATATATATATATATATATATATATATATATATATATATATATATATATTCAACCTAGTAGTACTTTTTCTAATATTTTTTGAAAAATTGAACTTGCTGCTTTAGTTCCAAGTGGTAAACGATTTAATTTATAAATACCTCTGTATGTACTCCAACATAAAAGTTCTTCCGTAATTTCCAGCTAATTATAGGCACATGACAAATCTAGTTTCGTATAAGTTTCTCCATCTTGTAATGCTGTAAATAATTCAATTGGAGGTAATGGATGTTTAACATCTTCGATAGATTTATTTACTGTTATCTTGTAGTCTGCACATAACCTTATTTTCCCATTCTCTTTAATGACAGGTAATAGAGGAGTTCCCCACTCTGCATTTAGTACAAGAGTTATTACACCTTTCTTCTCAAGCATGTCTAATTCTTTGTTTACAGCTTCTTTAAACGAAAATGGTATCGGCCTTGGTTTCCAAAATATTGGTTTCACATCGGAACACACCTTAAGCCTCACCTTCTCATGTTTATAACACCCTAACTCATCCTTAAAAAGATCTGAACATAAATGTAGCAAAGAACTTATTTGACTATCTTTATCTACAAAATTTACGTTTAAATTTGACCAAATGTTTAAGTCTATGAGTAAATCTCTACCTAATCAAGGTGTTGAGCCATTG